TAAATGTTAAATGTTAAGGCTTGGGAAGGTGTAAAAAACACTGATGCTAAATAAACGACCGATGTGCCAGCCAGTGGCAATCGCGAACTTCAGGTACAGTACCGCTCAAAAGTATATTAAGTTTTGGTTTTTTGAGGATATCTCAGCGAGTACTTATCCGATTTATATATAACTTTCAGGGATAATGTAAAATATACTTTGAAACATATACGGCATACAAAAAAACATGTCCGCAATCACTGTGACGCGTTTTAGGAATTTTTTGAATTCAATTTTTGTTTTTTTATGCTTTTTATTTTTTTATTTACTTTTATTAAATTTTTTAAAAGTAATAATTTTTTTTCATGTTGTTAGACATGGGAAGGATCTCTGGAAAAAAAGGATTTGACTGATAACGACAAAAGAGCCATCGTTGTGGGTCGTCATGAAAAAAAACATATGGTAACATTATAACTTTTAAAAAATTTAATAAAAGTAAATAAAAATAAAAATAAAAGCATAAAAAACAAAAAAAAAAAATTGAATTCAAAAAAAATTCCTAAAACGCGTCACAGTGATTGCGGACATGTTTTTGTATACCGTATACGTTTCAAAGTATTTTTTACATTATCCCTGAAAGTTATATATAAATCGGATAAGTACTCGCTGAGATATCCTCAAAAAACCAAAACTTAATATACTTTTGAGCGGTACTGTTCGTTAGAAAAAAAATCCTGCTCTCATATATTTTCCTGAACCTACATACTTTTTACCGCCTTCGCAGCAAGTAATGATGAGATAAATGACCCCTGAGGAAAATATAAAGAATCCCAGTTGGGTCAATGTGGTCGAAGCCGTCAAGTTGTTGATCAAAGAGTCATAGATTTGCTGAAAACTTCATTTCAAAAATTCGAAATCTCAACCCACATTTTCTCGTTCCTCGAAGCTTCTCAGATAAAAGAAAAGATAGGGCGGCACGATAAGGACAATTGTTACGGACAAAACCAAAAAGAACGTCAGAAATAAAACAATAATGTAACCTCTCGATGCCGTTTCTTCATCAAATAGTGATATTTGTAGAGCGAACGCTTCGAATTTTTTTTGCAATTCCATTCAATATAAGACCAACTTTGCAGCTACAATCAGCAGTATTGAAAAATAATCAAGTAGGCGTAAACACAGCATTGAAACATCTGCTCGGAAGTTTTTTGTGTAATTTTAATTAGCAAGCCTAACCAGATCTTATTACTAATTGGAAAAATTCTCTCAGTAGTGGCGAATTTGTTGACGTTATTTAATTCGATTCCATGGGGCGCCGTAGCGCAACAGGTTGTGTGCCTGTCTACGGTCCACAGGGTCACAAGTTCGGTCCCCTCCTCGACCCAACCAAGGGTCTAAGAAATGTTGGCAGTGGGAAAACACGACTTCAAAATCCCCAGCCATCACACACAAAGACGGATATGTCATTAGAGCCAGTCCACTGATATCAGGATAGGACCTCGATTAATCGACTTGGGGCGCCGACGCCGCTCAAGCGGTAGGAAGAAGAAGATTTACTTCGATTCCATGATGTGCCGCACAATCATCTGTTGGCCAAATTAGAAGCTTCTGGCCTCAATAATACGTTAATCAAATGGTTTTCTAATTTTCTTACGCAAGTCCAAAATCCCTTTAGAATGGCTCTCTTTCGGACGAAATTTTTACGTCATCTCTGGAGTTCAACAAGGAACTGTTACCGGTCCTCTTCTTACTCTCATATAAATTAATGATTCACCTAAGTTTTTTTTCGACAAAATATTCTCATACCTTCATGCCGATTATTTAAAAATCTTCTCTAATGACAAGGAAATATTGAAAAGTAAATCGAATAGTTTGAAATCTGTGGGCTTCCATTGGCTGATGCTCTGCGGACTCAGTATACAAGATGAATCTTTTTTTTTAATGCAAAGCATAACGCCTTGAAGCCAGATTTCTCTTGGGGACAACGGTTTTGCTTTTGTACTGTTGATAAAGAGAAGAAAGAAAAGACAAAGGGATAACTGTAGGGATCAGAAAATAGTCCAAGACGTAGAATGTATAGACAATCGGAATCTCTCGAAAAATCGAGTTCAGGAGCCAAAATGGCAGGACCAGGATCACTAGAAGCTGAAAAATAGAAAATTTCAACATTAGTTTGATAGTTTAAAGGCGATAAAAATTCAGTTTCAAATCTTTTTTCGCACCCTCACCATTTTGGCAATTGTAAAAGGCAACGCCTGCTTCATAATTCTTTTCTCGGGACGGTGTTGATTCCTGGACATCATCTCAGCCATACTATGAACTTTTTTATATATGAAATAGTATAAAATTATACTCAAAGCCGCTAGAAGCTTATCAACAGTTGCAAAAGCCTGAAAAAGGTGAAGGTAAAAATGAGAGGAAGGGAAATCACGTTAATAATCAGAGCGTCTCTGCTTTTCTGACAATATATTAATGGATTCCCGATATTGTAGTCACAAAAATCTGGAACAAGAAAAAGTTTGTTGAATTCATCTGGATTGCCTTTACGAATGAGAAATCCCAAGTGGAAAAAGCAGAGTAGCCAAGCAATCCAAATGCAAAATTTCAGTGTTTTCCTGGAATTTTCTCTTTCCCGATTTTTTTACTTTGGTATTACCCTTTCAAATACCCGTGATATCTTGGACGGCAACATATAACGAAAAATCTTTGCAAAGTTAAAAAGGCTAGTAGAATATTAACATTTAGAGGAATCATCGGAATTGTTAGAAAAAAATAAAAGTAACTGAATATCGCTATAATGAATACGAAAATTTGCTTTCTGGAAAAATATTGAAAAAAAAACGTCTTAAATTTTCAAAGTCAAGGCTTTTTTCGCTTTCCAAACTTCTGGCCGATTTTGGACTTATATATTTTTTTATAAATACGTTGTTTGTCCAAAAGAAAAATTTTTTTGAACCTTCTTTTTTTGCAAGCTTAAAGTTTCATCTGAATCTTGTATTTTGGAAAAAAACTGGTGTTAACGAAAAAAAATGAAAACCAAGCTATAAAAAATTACTATTCCGAGTCTCAGAACTTTTTCGCAAGAGCATTAAACCCACTTATTGGCGCGTTCTTGATACGTGATAATAATATAAATGACTCCTAGAAGAAAAAGAAAAAATCCGAATTGCGTCAGTGTGGTCGAAGCCGTTAAATTGTTGAGCAAAGGGTCATGAACTTGCTGAATTTCGCCTTTTTTGAAGTTATTTCAGCCATGCGTCACCTTTTCTCGTTTGTCGAGGTTTCTGAGATAAAAGAAAAGATAAGGGGGCACGATGAGGACGATCGTGATGGTTAAAACTAAGAAGCAGGTCAAAATTACAATGATTGAATAACTTTTGGAAGCTACATCTTCGTCGAATTGGGATGCGAATTTTTCGAGTTTTTCGAAAAAGCTCATTCAATAGCCGAAACAAGTTGGAACTCTGTCAGAGGAGCCGACCGGCCAAAAACACCTGCTAGGAAATTTTTTGTGAAATGCTATCATAATTCTCAACTCGGTCTATAGCCCGTCCGCCGCGACATGACAGTCTTCGCGTGTCTGCGTCTCTCTGTTCACTCACCGTGGAGGGCAGAGAAACATGGAAACAGCATGTCAACATGAGAGGGTCGCCGAGAGACGAGGAGGGCGCAGAGATGTTCCGGCCTTTCAAAAAAACGGACTATATTTTTGCGATCAAAACACACAAAGAGTACAGGAAAATGCGAAGAGTCTGGCCGCAAGGAGAATGGCTCGACGGGTAGCGGCTACTGAAATTTCGGAGCCGATGCATCAGAATCGCATTTTATAATTTCGAGAAAACGCCCAACAAATCGAAACTTTTCCTTTCAAAGCTCATTCTGATTTCTCATGCTCTTTTCAATGATTCAAAACATGACTGTGAGCTCGATTTGAAAAATGGTAGATTAAAAACGTCTCATTTAATTATCTTCATTTTTACATTGTTAATGCAGAGCATGAGGCCGTGTAGCTAGGTTTCTATGGGGAGTGGACGTTTGGCTCTTGTACTGTTGATGAAGGGAAGAAAGGGAAGAAAAAGGGATAACTGTAGGGATCAGGAAGTAGTCCAAGATGTAGAAAGTGTAGACGATGGGGATTCGTCGGAAACTCGCGTTCAGAAGCCAGAAAGGCAGGACCAGAACGAGTAGGAGCTGTAAAAGGTTCTATTTTTTTTCGTTTCATTTTCTTCTCACCATTTTTGCAGCCGCAAAAGGCAACGCCTGTCTCATGACTCGGTTCTCTGGTCGATATTTCTTTCTCGAGATCATCGAAGCCATAAAGTATACTTTTCTGTAGATCAAACAATATAAAAGTATACTCAAGGCTGCTAAAAGCTTGTCACATATTGCAAAGGTCTGAAAAACAGAGGAACATGGAAAAAAAAGAAAAATTAACTCGCGTTTATAACCAAAGCGTCTCTGGTTCTTTCGCAATAAATTAGTGGTCCCCCAATGTCGTAGTCACAAAAATCTGGAACACGAGAAAGTCTTTTTACTCGATCGGAATCGCCCTACAAATGAGAAATCCCAAGTGGAAAAAGCACAGTAGCCAAGCAATCCAAATGCAAAATTTTAGTGTTTTCCGGAAAATTGTATTGATTTGTGAAACTTGGAAGCCTCAGAATGGTCCCTAGAGAGGCAAGTTTAAGAACACATGAAGGTCACCTTCTATAGGGGCCACTAAAGATTGAAAAAGCGACCCTTCTTAGAGGTTTCAGTTGTTGGCTACTCTAGGGGAGCGTTCACCTTAATTTAACCCCTCTAGGGGGCACTGTTAAATCCCCTATAGGTCCCTCTATCCCTCTAGGAAACACTCTGGCGTTCCTGAGAACAGAATAAATCTCACCCAGTCAACAGTCCGTGATAACTCGGACGGCAACAGATAACAAAAAATCGTTGCAAAGTCAACAAAGTTATTAGAATATTGACTTGGAGAGGAATAACTGGAAGAGTTAGAAAATAATAAATGTAGCAAACAATACCTATTAGAACTGCGAGAAACTTCCCACTAGAAAAATTAATTAAATTAACCTGGTTATTGTCAAAAGGGGTCTTTCTTCTTATAGGTAGGGACCACAGACGAATTTCCAAAAGTTTTTTTTCAGCATTGAGCTTTGTATGGTTCGATAGCTGTTTCGATTCAAAACTCAGAACCGTTTAGTTTTTTTTAAAAAAGATTGAGGATGAAAAAAGTTATGACGAAAAATGTGGCGCGCCGCGCACCATTTTTTTAGTACTGAATTTTTGGTATTATCCATTTTTGACATTTTTCTCGATTTTTCTTCTAGAACAAGTTTTGATACTGGTCTATTATGATGTAACAAATCATAATAGAGTGCTAAAATGATGCAAATTTGCTATTTTGCCGAAAAAGTCAGTATTTTCCAGAAAACAAAAAACTGACGCTTGCGGGCATCGAACTCGCGACCTCAAAGTGAAAAATCGCAGCGCACGTGCTGCGCCAAGCTGTTAGGTCTAGCGAGGGGAGCTTCCATCCGCCATAGCCTTGAGCCGTTTGAATAGCACAGATTGCCTATTTCAAAGAGGAAAACTTGAAGTAATTAAGCTATTTTTATCAGAATATGTTCGCAAATCTTTACTCAAACTTTTCGTGGAAATTCATTTCGAAAAAACCGTTTTTTTAGTGTTTTTTGCCTCGTTTAACGATCGCTGCATTAAAACGGCCCCGTAAATTTTTGGCAAAGACGAATTTTTTTAATTTTTATTCTTTTTAATTGAAAGATTTTTTTACTAATAAATGTGTATAACCGTTCAAAAAACTTGCGTTCGACCGCTTTCTGTGTGATAAACGCCGCTAATTTTATTCTCTAGTTTCAAGAGCATTTTTGCGTATTAAACAGCTTTCTCAAGCACAGATGCTGTGGAGAAAAATTTAAGTAAGCCCATGGTCTAAATTTTGAAAAAACAAAAAATCGATTATATTCGCTTATTAACGATATTTTGAATTAAGACTTTCGGCACTCCCTAAAAAAAAGACGAATTTTTTATTTTATTGTTTTAAAATTACCGTTACTTGAATCAAAAATCATTATTTAAAAAAAGAAAGAGTGCGTTCGACCTGAAAACACATGAAAAAGCAAAAAATGACAAAATTTTTTAGTTGCATTCACGTTTTTGTACGACATTCCGCGAGAACGCATCAAAAAAGCGTGAAATAGTTTTTAAACGAAAGAGGAAGCTTTTCTGTACATGTGTGTCCAAATTTATTATCCAGTTCCACGTATTTTGCAACTACAGCAAAATGAAAGTTGAAAACCAAAAAAAAGCCACTTTTTCTATCGCGAAAAGGGGCGTGGCTTTGCGGTCCCTACTTATAGGGTCCGAACTTGTAAGCTTTTTTTGTCGGGAAAACTTTTGCTTGGATATATAGTAAATCTCTCCCGACTAGAAAGGCAAGGGGGCAGAAAATTGGGTGGGACGCGGTCCTTGGCTTGAGTTCAATTCAAGCCCCACCGACTATTTAAAAAGCTTGGTCTCCCTTCTTTTTGTATCTATTCTACTATTTTTTTGAGGCACAAAGAAAAAAAAATCAATGAAGAACGAAAAATAAATAAAAAAAGCCATCAAAGGCGGTGCTTGAATTGGACTCGTGACAAGAACCGCGAACGCGCACGCTACGCGTCCCGCCCCCTTCTCTGCCTCCCTCGCCTTGCAATTCAGGATGGCTCGACTATAATTTCCTGATGAAATTTTCAACGTACTTTTTAGCGTCTTCACAGTGAGTGTAGATTAAATAAATAAGTCCGGAGGAAAACAAAAAGATTCCGAGTTGGGTCATTGTGGTCGAAGCTGTTAAATTGTTGATCAAGGAATCATAGATTTGCTTGAATCTTCTTTTTTTAAATGTAAAATCACATTCAACCAACTTTTTCTCTTTTTTCGAAGCCTCTCAGATAAAAGAAAAGATATGGGGGTACGGGACGGACGATAGTTATAGACAAAACCAAAAAGCCCGTCAGAAATAAAATAATAAAGTATCCTTTCGAAGCCGTTTCCTCATCTAATAGTGATATTTGTAAAGCGAACGCTTCGAAGTTGTTTCGTACCTCCATTCAGAACATAAAAAGTATACTTTGGAACTATTGAAAAAGAGCGAAGTGGGCGGGAAGCCAACTTTGAAACATCTGTCCGGAAGTTATTCGTATATTTTTAGTTAGCATTCACAATCCAAACTACGTTTGTAATCAAAAGAGCACAAGTAGGCAGAAGAGATTCATACCTTTTTCTCATACTTTTTGAAGAGCCTTCAACAAAATCTTGAAGCATCACAGAGAGTCAAAAAATGTCTCTCTGAATTTATAGTCTATAATTATAAGTTATTGATAAAAACTCTATCAAAATTTTTATTTTATCAATGCAATGCATCACGCCGCGTAGCTAGGTTTCTCATGGGAGCAATAGATTTGCTTTTGTACTGTTGATAAAGGGAAGAAAGAAAAGACAACGGGATAACTGTAGGGATGAGGAAGTAGTCCAAGACGTAGAAAGTGTAGACGATGGGAATTTTTCGAAATGTTGGGTTCAGGAGCCAAAACGGAAGGACCAAAATCACCAGCAACTGTAAACTTGCTTTGAAACAAATGAGCAACGACTTTTTGAGAGCAAAAAAGCGAAAGGATCATTCATGAATATTACAGGGTGGCCAATAAATATTGAAACCGTTTTTTGTTTGATCGCTGCTTTTTGCACAAAGGACTGGCCATTGAATTTTTTTGTTTATTTCGTTCATTCATGCTCACTTATCATGTGTTTGAAGTTACAGCTCATACTTTTCAGTATTCAGGTAATGGTGGCCCCATCTCCGTACCGTACCGCAATCATTGATTGTGTCAAAAGCGGAATGACAAATTGAGAGATCGTTAAAAAGCTGAAAGTGTCTCGTGTTCTCGTTTTTCGAACTGCACAACGCTATCGGCGTCTCGGTACTTCAGATGACATGCAAAGAAAGGGACGTCCAGTCACCGTCACGACTCCAGAAGCAGTCAAAGCCGTTCGAGAGAAAATCAGACGCACTCCGGAAAGAAGCGTGAGAAAGATGGCAAAAGAATACAAAATGAGTCGAGAATCGATGAGAACTATTGTCAAGGACAAGCTGAAGATGATTCCCTACCGTATGCAGAAAGAAGCCTTCCTGAATCAAAAAAACAAGACATTCCGAATGAAAAAAGCTCGAAAGCTGCTCGCTGGCACGAAAGATGGCTCGCATCTGACGACGCTATCTACCGACGAGAAAATCTTCACTGTGGAGGCGAACAAGAACGGCCAAAGCCATCCGATCATCGCTACTGACTATCAGAGTGCCTGTGAAAAAGAAAAAATTCTGAATAAAACTTCGCATCCGGCTTCCGTGATGGTTTTTGCCGGAATTACCGCTGACGGCAAAACTCCGCTGATTTTTGTGGATTCTGGAGTCAAAGTGGACCAAGTATACTACAGGGAGTAGATTTTAAAGTTGAGGGTGTTACCCTGGGCCGATTCTCACTACGAAAACCGACCATGGACCTTCCAGCAAGACGGCGCCCCCGCTCATCGCGCCAAAGGGACTCAAGAGTGGTATCGCGCCAATTTTCTTGAGTTCATCTCGGCTGCTGATTGGCCTGCTTCCTCGCCCGACCTCAACCCGATGGACTATGCCGTGTGGATATATCTGACCGAGAAGGTCTCTTCTTAAAACTACCCAAGTATCAAAGCTCTGAAGACCGCGCTCATCAAGAAATGGGACGAAATCGACGACGATTACCCTCGTGCCGTGATCGATGCGTATCCGAAGAGACTGAAGGCCGTTATCACTGCTAAAGGAGGACGTTTTGAAAACTATTCTTGAATTTTGTTTCTATATTGTATGAATAAAATTTGTTCCAAGTTTGGTGGTGTTTGGTTGACTTTTGAGAAAGTTATAACGTTTCAAACGCGTTTCAATATTTATTGGCCACCCTGTATTATTGGGAATATTAATTTCAAGCTTCGCAACTATTTTTCTGAGGTTTTTGTGCTCTCACCAATTTAGCAACCGTAAAAGGCAACGCCTGTCTCATAACTCTTCTCTCGGGTCGATATTGTTGTCTGGAAATCATCGCCGCCATAGAATGAACCTTTTTGTAAACTAAGTAGTATAAAAATATACTCAGCGTCGCGAAAATTTTGTCACACACAGCTAAAGCCTAAAAAATAAAATTTTATATGAAAATGAAAAAAAAGTTAGCTCACATAAATAACCTTAGCTTCTCTGGCTCCTTGACATTGTATTAGAGGAGTAAAAGTAGCATAGTCGCAAAAATCTGAAACCAGAAAAAGTTATCTATTTCGTTCTACACAATCGCACTCACGGAGAAGAAGTCCTAGTTGAGAAAAACCCAGTAGCCAGGCAGTCCAAACGCAAAGTTTTAACTTTATTCTATAAATTTTACAATTTTTACTAACTCTGAAAAAATCTCACCCAGTCAATAGTACATGATAACTTGGAGAACAACAGATAACGAAAAATCGTTGTAAAGTTAAAAGAGTCAGTAAAATATTGACATTTAGAGGGATAATCGGGACTGTTAAAAAATAATAGTAGTATCCGAAAATCGCGATCCCAAATGCGAACATATGTCTACTGAAAAAAGGAAGTTAAGGAAAAATTTCAACTTTTTCAGAGGTTAAAAACTTTTGACAGTGGTTTGATATAAAAAGCTTAATAATATCGTATATACCCAGCTCAATATCATGATAAGTTTATGAATTCTAATATTAATCTTTTCTAATATAGAAAATGAAATTTCCGACATACGCATTAGCATATTGGTGTACCGTGGCGACTAGCAGAATGACGCCTGCGAGAAAAAGAACAAATCCGAATTGTGTCATTGTAGTGGAAATCGTCAAATTGTGGATCAAGTAGTCATAAATTTGCTAAAAAACTCTCGATTTTTAAACATCATTCACATTGAACTCACTTTCTCTCTCCTGTCGAGGCTTCTCAGATAAAAGAAAATGTATGGGGGAAAGAAAAGGACAATTGTCACGGTTAGAGACAGAAAACAAATTAGAGCTAGAAGAAGAATATAACTGCTGGAAGCTAGTTCTTCGTCAAATTCAGATGTTAAGTTGCTGAAAGCCTTGAGTAAGTCCATTCAGAAAGTCTGAAACTATGAAAATCAGCTATGTTGGCTGAAAGAAGTGTTTCAAAACATCTGCTCGGAAGTTATTTGGGAAAGGACATCGTTCAGAATTTTCGACTAGGACTATTTTTGTTATCTCATTTCATCATGTCGACTAGTCGGTCTCATTGCCACTTTCTCATGGAATAATATTCCGACGCCCGTCGGCCCTGGGCAAGCTGGGTGCCGTACTGTTCCAACATGGTGAAGCAGTTTATTCGCTTGCACTACCAACGGGCCCACATTATTTCCCAACACTAGCTGTCCCTATGGGACGTATTAGACAACGATTGTGGACCGAAATCCGCGCCGACGACTAACTCTTCGATTATACCATGATTCAGCAGAGATTTTCTTCATCTTACTCTGAAGACTGATCAAATTGAAATTGAAACTATTTTTGCCCTCTGAAGTGCTGTAGAAGATGGGAATACTCTGTGATCAATTCGAAATAATTCTAAAGCTCAAGATTGGATGGCTCGACGTGAAGCCGCTACGCAAAAAAAAGTTCTCGTTTTGGATAATGCTATATTTTGGGTGCTACGGCAAGAGCAAGTTTTCCGTTTTCGAGGAGTACTGTACGCGGCATTGCGTGCATACACTTTGCGTGTTTACACTTTTGTTGCGTGACGTCATCGCGCCGTACATCTCCGGGTTTTTTGCTTCCGGGCTTTTTTTTTGAAGTTTTTTTTTCGAATTACTTTTTGACACTTTTTTTTAATCGTGCAAATATCATAGAGAAAAATGCAAATCTTGAAAAAAGCGACAAAAAATTGAAAATAGCTCGAAAAAAAACCCCGGAGATGTACGGCGCGATGACTTCACGCAACAAAAGTGTAAACACGCAGAGTGCATGCACGCAATGCGCTTTGCCGCATACAGTACTCCTCGAAAATGGAAAACTCGCTCTTGTCGTAGCACCGTCTTTTGAACGTATTGTTATCGGCTTGTAAAGCTTCATGAAAAAAGAAATGATATGTTAAAAAGTGTTATAGTCGATGTGCCACAAGTTGAAATTCCATGGAACGACAATCCGCTGTTTCGATTTGTGCGGTAGCGCGCATCGTGCGAATTTGCCAACCTCGGCCACGCAAGTTTTTTTTTGGTTTTTATTCTAATTTTGATCGTTTTTTAATTGTTTTATTTCTTTAAAATGTATTGTTATCGTTGAGAAGGATTGCGTTGTATAAATGTAAACGAAAGAACACAGTAAATTTCATGATCTTCCTCGAAAAGAGCGATGAAAAAAGTTTGTTTTTGTAGAAGCCACGCTTTAATGTTTTCATCGTTTTTTTTTTTCTGTTTGTTGCAGTGGTTAATGGTTTTTTTTCAGAAAGTGAGTGGCTCATAAAATGAAGACGGGTACGCACTATGAAACAGAGAGATCGGTTTCAGTCAACATAAGGTTTTTCACTGCGTATTTATCTCCTGGTTGAATTATTGGCATTCCGAAAAACTTTATTCATCCATTGCACTGCCAAAAAGTTCATAAAACTACAGAATTATCGAAGAAAATGTATTTGAAAACGGCAAATTATAAAATAAGAGAGCGTGACCGAGATCCGCAAAGGCATTGATTCTTCACGGCCACAAGGCCAGCGAGCGGAGTGTCGTTCCATGAAATTTCAACTTAGAGCACATCGATTATACTCCAACTTGGATTTCTTGATTGTTCGAAGCTAGACTCGTGTCTTCGGGATCGACGGAGTGGTTTTGCTCTTGTACTGTTGATAAAGTGAAGAAAGGAATGACAAAGGGATGACTGTTGGGATGAGGAAATAGTCCAAGACGTAGAATGTGCAGATGAGCGGGGCTCTTCGGAATGTTGAGTTCAGGAACCAAGGAGGCAGGACCAAGATCAGTAGAAGCTGCAATGAAAATGTTTCCTCACGTTTCTTTAAAGCTTTTTTTAAAATTTTTTTTAAAATCAATGTTATAAAAAGCTGTAGCACAACAGGTTGTGTGCCTGCCTACGGGGCGAAGGGTCACGAGTTCGATCCCCACCGTGGTCCAACCACGGGGATCTTTTTTCTTGTAGTGGAAAACCACGGCTTTCTAATCCTCAGCCGTCACACACAAGGACGGATATAGCCCGTTCACGGCTGGCTCGGGGCAGCGAACGGGCGGTTCAACTTGCGCGGCGATGGTAGATCATTGTGGCCGTACATGCACCTTTAATAAGAGACTCATTTTATGAATTATTTCTGTTTCTATTGAATTTATTTTTTGTTTACATTAATCTAATTGTTTTTAGATTCTCTTGAAATCGACGAATAATAAGAGAAAACCAAATAAATCATAATATGGGGCTTTTATGAAAGGCGCATAGATAAACCGCCCGTTCGCTGGCCCAAGCCAGCCGTGAACGGGCTATATGTCATTAGAGCCAGCTCACTGATTATTACTAAAATCAGCATATGACCTTGCTCAAGCACTACAAAGACGTGAGAAGGAGGAAAACTATACATCGATTTCATCATTTTCTGTTTCCAAAACAAAACACGGGTGCCTATCCAAGATATGTTTTACAACAGTCTTACTATTTGGGCGATTGTAAAAGGCAACGCCTGCTTCATAACTCTTTTCTCCGGTCGATAATTTTGCCTGGAAACCATGGCAGCCATACTATGGACTTTCTTATATATAAAGTAGTACAAAATTATATTCAAAGCTGCTAGAAGTTTATCACAAACCGCTAAAGTCTAAAAATGATTGAATAGAAAGAAATAATAAAAGAACATACATTAATAATCGAAGCATCTCTTGCTTTCTGGCAGTAAATTGATGGCTTTGCAAAACCGTAGTCGCAAAAATCTGAAAAATGAGAAAATTTCGAATTAATACGAATCGTTCTTACAGAGAAGAAACCCCAAGTGGAAAAAGCAAAGTAGCCAAGAAGTGAAAATGCAAAATTTCAGCTTCTTCCTATAAATTTTCTTTATTTTTTTAAATTCAATAAGTCTTACCCAGTCAACAACCCGTGATAACTTGGACGGCAACAAATAACTAAAAATCGTTGCAAGGTCAAAAGAGTAAGTAGAAGATTGACGTTGAGAGGAATCATCGGAATTGTTAAGAAATAATAAAAATAGCTGGTTAATAAAAAACAATATGCGATGACGTGCCTACTGAAATGAGAAATATGAGAAGCTGAATAAATTTTGATTTTTCGCAGATTCAAAAGTCGTTTTATTAGCTAGTTCACCGAGATTTTAATTTTTTCTAGTGTCTACGGCTCTCTGTTTTCTCACCGGTAAGATAAGATAAACGAAAAGAAGCACGTCATCGAGAAAGGGTCGCCGAGAGACAAAGAGGGCTCAGAGAAGTCCCGCCCTTTCAAGTCGCAAAAAGAAAAAAACGGGCAAAAAATTTATTTTTACCAGAATCATTTACTCACCCATTAGCAGGCTGATCCATCATAACAAGAAAAAAAATGCAGCTCGAGAGAAAAAGAACGATTCCGAAGTGTGTCAGCGTGGTCGTAGCAGTCAAATTATTTATCAAAACGTCATAGATTTGCTTCAATTTGCTCCAGTTTCGAAGTTTCTTCATTTTCGACTCACCTTCTCTCGTCTTCCGAGACTTCTGAGGTAAAAGAAAAGATACGGGGGCACGATGATAACAATCGTCAAGGTGGGAACTAGTAAGAAGGTTGGAATTAAAAAGAGCAAGTAGGAATTCCAAGCCCTTTCATTGTCAAATTGAGAGGTTACAATGCTGAAAGTTTTGAGTAACTCCATCGGAAAGAGCAAAACTGAAACTATGAAAAAGGTGTTAGCGGAAAGTCGAGTTTTCTGAAACATCTGCCGGGAAGTTATTTATAAAACGTGTAACTTTACCCTTGAAAGCAAAATGAAAAAGTTAAAATTGATGTACTCTACTTGACTCTGTTTAGCGAAAGAGGTTTACCACACGTGGAATGTCTCAACTCGTAGCGAGCCTGTCAAAGATTTTTCGAAGGTGAACAAAAATTCGCCATTAATTCTTTATTGCAAATTGGCCTTCGATCGGGAAATTTGGCTGGCTGGTTGAGAAACGACTGGTTTGCTTTTGTATTGTTGATAAAGGGATGAAAGTAGAGAAAGTGGGATGACTGTTGGGATGAGAAAATAGTCCAAGGCGTAGAAAGTGTAGATGATCGGAACTTGCCGAAAAGTCGAGTTCAGAAGCCATGGAGGCAGGACCAGAACCAGTAGGAGCTGTAACTTGGAAGAGTTCATAGAAAATTGTATTTAGAATCAGAAAAATTGTATTTAGAATCAAAAATTGTATTTAGAATCAAAAATGGTATTTAGAATCAGTTTGCAGACAAAGAAGAACTAGTAACTCAAGAGTAACCTTTTTTGTGGTAGTTCCTAAGGAGGACGTATTTTTTATTCGAACAAACTTCCTGCTAGTTTCAGTTCGTAGGGAAGTACCTTCCTTGTAAGAAACGGCTAAGTTTTTGAAGGCCACAATGAGTTTTATGAATTTCTATGGAACTGTCTTTGGAACTCACTCTTACCATTTTAGCTATGGTGAAAGGCAAGGCCTGCTTCATAACCCTCTTCTCCGGTCGATAATGCTTGCTGGAAACCATCGCGGCCAAAACATAAACTTTTCTGTAGATTAAATAATATAAAACGATACTCAACGCCGCTAAAAGTTTGTCAACCACGGCGAAACCCTGAAAAACAAAACACAGGTGGAAAGAGAAAGAAAAAAACAGCTTACATGAACAATCAAGGCGTCTCTGGTATGCTGGCACCGAATTAGAGGACTGAGAGGAGTGTAGTCGCAACAATCTGAATGATAAGAACTCTGTAAAAATAGTTTGAATCCAGCTCACAGAAAAGGAAGGCCAAGTGGAAAAAGCAGTACAGCCAAGCCGCCCAAACACAGTACTTCAGATTGTTTCTGGAAAATTACCTGATTATCTTTCCTTTATGAATGGCACAGCGACAAGGACGAGTCTATTTTTCCGTAAGGCTACTGTATGTGAAAGTCCGCAATTAACGTGTATTCACATTTTGGGTGCCCCAACTTTGCGTTTTTTTCATTCAAATCTAATCGAAACAAATCACAACTCGAGGAAACAAAAAAATTTCCTAAAAAGTTCATTCTGACTTTTTATAAAACAGGACATAAAAATAGAAAAAGACGGGACTCATCAAAATGTGCAAACACGCTCAGTGCACACGCCAAATACGGACTTTCGCCTACAGTACCTTTTGAAAAAGGATAACTCGCTCTTGTCGTTGCACTTTTTAAACAAATCTCACCCTCTCAAGTACTCGTGATACCTTGGAGGGCAACATACAATCAAATATCGCTGGATCGTCAAAACGGTCAGTAGAATATTAACATTCAGAGGAATCATCGGAACTGTTAAAAAATAATAAATGTAGGCAAGAGCTGCAAATCCAAATGCGAGAATCTGCTCACTGTAAAAAACAAACTGTGGCTCTTTTAAAGCTCTCAAACGATACTTTTCAATACTTTCACTGGCGATACACGAAACTCCGCCGGTCAGAAAGAGAATGAAACCAAATTGTGTGACTGTGGTGGAAGTCGTCAAGTTGTTGATCAAATAATCATAAATTTGCTGAATTTTATAATCATTTTTTAAAAGTTAATTCCGTTATAACTCGCCTTTTCTCGTCCATCGAGGCTTCTGAGGTAGAAGAAAATATAAGGAGGCATGAAAAGGACAATCGTTACGGACACGAGTCCGAAACAAGATAATAATACAATGGTCATGTAGCTGTCCGCAGCATCTTCGCCAGTTAACTGCGATGTGAAATTGGTGAAAACTTCGAAAAAGTCCATCCGAGCACGGAGAAAACTCAAGACTATGAGAAACGGCCGAATCGACTGCCGTGGAAAAACATCTGCCCCCAAGTTTTGTGTGTCATTAGTCACCTTTAACAATTTGCAGTGTTTTTTGTACTCAAATGCACCTTTGTTGATCTTTTTTTTCCAGTGTTTATAGCCATGAGTAATTTTTTTTTATTGAATGAGTTCTATTTGGAAATTTTTTTATAAATAAAAGTTCATCGCCCGCAATTACGAGCTCTAGTAATCGAGATGAGTACAGTCCCTATCTTTTTCTCGAATATTAAGCTGTGAAAACTGCTTTTTTTGCCAATTAAAATATTAAAAAAATTGATCAGTATGCGAACTTGCGTCGAGACGTATACACCGATACGTGCGATTTCACGCGCTTTTTGTTGAGCTCGATTCGCCATTCTTTTTCACTGTTCATTTGTTTTTTTATTTTTAACGCTTGTTATTATTTATAATATGTGAAAACAGTTTCTGTATATCAATCTTTTTATTTTTTGTATTGTTTTCTTTGAAAATATTTTCATATTAGTAAAATTTCAGGCATAAAAAAAATAACAATAATTTTTCAGTTTTCATAAGCGTTCTCAGACCTTCACAATATATTTTCAGTTTTTCATGAGTTTAACGGTCAGTTTTGATTTTATTTTTTGAGCTCTGAAGAACCCTCGACAAATGTTTTTTTTTTGATCAAAAGAAAAACTCGGATTATATTTTTACCGCCTTCTCTGTTTTTTTTTTAAACGAAAGGACTTTCCGGAAGATCTTGTTCAAAAGTTCAATGTGAGTTTTTATTGATGTGCAGTACTGTTTGATTATTTATATTTAGATGCCAATAAAAAACGAAAAGAGAATATAGGTGGCGCATGAAATTGATGAAAAACTGGTATTTGGATCTCTTGTTCCTGTTGGAAAGGTTAGTTATTTATTTATTCATTTTTTTTTCAGATCCGTATTTTATTTTTTCGATTACTTTTCAACTTCATTCGAACTAAAAAATAAAAAAAAAAATCAATTTATTTGTAATTAAACGTTAGTAAGTAGTTTGTTGGGCTGAAACCGAGGCGGACTTGATTTTGTACTGTCTATAAAAACTAGAAAGGAAAGATAAGGGAATTACTGTAGGTATAAGGGAATAATCGAGAAGATAAAATGCGTGGACAAGAGGAGCCTCGTGAAAGGAAGAGTTGAGGAACCAAGGAGGCAAAATTAAAATCAAACAAGAAATTTTTGTGATTGTAAATGGCAGAGCTTGTTGCATGACCCGTTTTTCTGGTCTGTATTGATTTTTCGAGACCAAAGTGGCTAGTTTGAATATTTTCTGGTAGATGAAATAATATAAGACGATGCTGGTCAGAGCCAAGGTTTTATCGAGTATTGCGATCGCCTGAAAAAATATTTTCATGTTTTCCCCAATAATATATAATCCGTTGTGCGGAAAAAGAGAGAAAAAAAAAACTGACGTAGAAAATCATTTTACTTATCCAATCTTCACACTGCATAGATTGGGCAAACGGTTCATATTCGCAGTTCCCTTTATAATCGAAATTTAAAAAAAGTTAAGAAAAAAAAGACTTACAGAACAAAAATCCGAAATGTGATATGCAAAGCGCCCAAGCTGTCCAAACGATCTTTTTCAACTTTTTTCTGAATTCGGAGGCTTGATTTCAGAAGATTCCCATGTAGTCTGTGTACCACGACTTGGAATTTCACGGAACGACATTCCGCTGTGCCGCGCGCCTTTGCGAACCTTGGTCGCGCTTTTAATTTTTCTTCTTTTATTATGGTACTCTGCTTTTATGTGCTCTCACAGCAATAACAATCAATTGAAAGCGTGACCTAGATTCAAAAGACGCTTCGCGAACGCACGCAGCGGAACAGCGGAATGTCGTTCGGTGAAATTTCAAGTCCTGGCACACAGACTATATAATCTCACCCTTTGAAGTATTTATGAAACTTGGGAGGCAAACAAATGATAGAAAATCGTTGTAGGGTGAGAGCCGTCAGTACAATATTCACGTGTAGAGGAATTATCGGAACAGCCAAATAGAAATAAATATATCCACTGCTCAAAACGAACAATGCGAACAGTTGTGCGCTGAAATTTATCGGAAATCTCTTTTCACGTGAATTAAAAAAGGTACCGGAAAAATCCAGCGCCTGTGCCAACAGTTTGACTCAGAAAAAGTCCCAACAAAAAAATGATAAACCCAAATTGACTCATTACTGTGGAATATGTCAATACGTTGATTAAATAATCATAGATTCGCTAAAACTTGTCCAATTTCTCATCTGCAATCTTTAATTTTTACCTTCTCTTTGCCGTCAAGGTTCCGAAAGTAGAAGAATAGGTAAATGGGCATGATAAAGATGATCGTTGAAGAGAAAATGGCCAAGCAAACGATTAGAATAGTGAGGGTATAGTTATTAGAAGCACCCTCTCCAGTCATAATATCCAGGAAGGTCTCCATTATAATATCAAATAAAGCTATGAGCTGTTCTCTTTGGAAAAACTGAATCTGTTGTTCAAAATCACCTGTCCGTAATTGTTTCTGATAATCATCAGATTAATTGAAAGCCACTGAAATTTTTGCAAAGATTTTTAAATCCTGCAACGAAGAAACAGGCCTAGGTTTTGAGAACAAAGTATTAACTTGAATTCACGATTTCCGGCCAGAAGGGACCGTCAATTTTCACTGGAGTTCTGGTAAAGAAAAAAATTTTTTTTAATGATTAAATTCAAACACCGTTTTAACCGTCGGAAATTTTATCAATTTTCAGGAATTTTTGTTTTGCATTGAATTTCATAAAAACCGTTCGAAGCTTAATCAATTTATTCTCCCCCAAAGACTTTTTCCAAGAATTTTTCACAAAAAATAATAAATTTATTAAGCGTTTAATCAATAATGACAATTTTTTCAAGTTTCAGCTTTGGATCGCATTGGTGTCTGGCTTTCGAGAAACAGAAGTAGATTCATTCTTGTATTGTCTATAAAAAACTAGAAAGGAATGATAAAGGGATCACTGTAGGGATTAGACAGTAGTCAAGACCATATAAAGCGTAGACGAGAGGATATTCTTGGAGTTTTCGGTTCAGAAACCAAGGCGGCAATATCAGAATGAGAAGGACCTGAATCGAATTTATGAGGTTTATCTTTGATTTAATGTTTGGAATATACAATTTTGGCAACGGTGAAAGGCAGGGCTTGTTCCATAACCCTTTTTTCTGGCCTATAACGGGCTCGCGAGACCATTTTCGCTAGAGCGAAGATTCTCCGGTAAATCGAGTAGTATAAAATCACACTGTTCAAGGCCAAAAGCTTATCGATTACAGCCACTGTCTGAAATAACGTTCATGAGTAATATTCAGTTCATCAAAACTTGAAACTTCGGCGTGCGAAACGGTCGCCTTGCGTTTTTGACGCCAATTCAGAAATTAACCTACTTTGAAGTTTTACGGGAGGAATTATTTTTAAAGATTCTTAAAAAAATTTCTGCAGAGACCAGGCCATGAATTTTCAGCATTTTTGAGTCAAAATAAATTATTACAATAAAAAAAGTAACTTGAAAAAAACAATCTTCGAAGTTTTCAAGAATAGTGTAACAAATAATGATTTCTGCAGCTTACTATAACAATCCCGGTGTTTTGCGAACTCTCGCAGTTTATTAGGGGCGACGCCGGTATGTAATTGCAGGAATCTGGAAAATGAGCTCAATTTTCATCCGGTAAAACATCGAAACCCACAAATGAGAAAAGTCAAATGTAGAAAACAAAGAGCCCAAGCTGTTATCACGTAGTATTTCAGGCTTTTCCTAAATTTTTTCATAATTTCTTTTATTATCAAACTTTGGTTTCACTCTTTCACATAGTGGTGCAGTTTTTTATCCAAGCAAACTATGCAATATCTTTGTATAGTGAGAATCGTTATTAAAATATTGACATTCAAAGGAATCGTTGGAATCGCTAAATAGTGATACATAAACACGGTGCTTGTAACGAATAAGGATAACATTTTTTGCCTGAAAGTCACTATTTTTATCGTTTAGGATCAGAAAATGCAGGAAATCTCATACCAGTCATTAGTTTCTCCTTTGAGAACGGCCTCGGTGGTACAAGTTGCGATGAAAAAAAGAACGATTCCAAGTTGCGTCATTGTAGTTGATAGGGTCAGGTTTTTAATCAAAGAATCGTAAATTTGCTGAAAATTCCTTGTGAAGTTCGCAATTTCAAAGTTGTGTTACTTTTTCTTTTCTGTCGAGTCTCCTGAGGTAGAAGGAAAGGTACGGCGGCATCAGAACTACAATTGTCAGGACCAAAAGTATGAACAAAACAGCAAGCAAAACTTTTACATATTGCTCAGAACTTTCTTTGCTCGCGATAAAAACCAAAAAAGTTGGGATGGTGGCCATTGGGCTGAAGAAAATCAAAGTTTGAGAAAAAACTTTGTGATTGGAGCGCATGAAAAAGCACCTGTAAGGAGGACTCGTGAGATTTCAAAGACTGAAAACCAGCTCAACAATCTTTATAATCAGCTTGTTGGCGCCTTTTTAAAGTTCTTGAAAAAATGAGTTCACTAAGAGGGACCAAAAAAGTTTCTGAAATGATATTGAGTAATTGATTTAGTCGAAAGTTTGAAAATGTTTCAATTAGCGCCAAAACATGTCGCGACTTTTGCATGTACCCTGAAAATGCCACCAAGAAAAAATTTATTTCAAAGATTGCTATTTTTATCATCTTCAAATCGCAACGGTGTTCTGTTGATGCGAAACGGTGTTTGAATGGTTCTTGTACTGCCTATAAAAACTAGAAAGGAATGACAAAGGGATCACCGTAGGGATAAGGCAATAATCGAGGACGTATAAGGCGTAGACGAGAGAAATCGGCCGGATTTTCGGACTCAAAAGCCAGGGAGGCTCACAATTTTTGCAACTGTATAAGGTAGGGCCTGTTGCATGACCTTCTTCTCTGGTCGGTATTGATTTTTGGAGATCAGAGCCGTTAGTTTCTGGATTTTACGGTATATTAAATAATATAAAGTTGTATTCGTCAAAGCCAAAAACTTATCCATGATTGCCACTGTCTGAAAAAAGTTTTTCTCTTTTTTTTGAGTAATTTATCAACTTACATAAGCGATTATTGCGTATTTCGGCTGTAGCGGTTCGAAGTTTGGAGACCAAGGTAAATAAGCGCAAAACTCTGAAAAGGAAATTGGTCCATTTTCGATTATTTTGAAGATTCCTTACGGCATAAAAATAAAAAGTGAACGAAACAAAGTACCCAAGTCGTCCACACAGTGTATCGCAGAGCATCTCTTGAATTTACTACCTTTACTATCAAAAAAGGTTTAATTTCTCACCCCCTCACAAAGTTATGGAATCTCGGATGCATACACATTATACAGTACCTTTGCACAGTGAGAATCGTCAACAAAAAATTGAAACCCAGAGAAATTATGGGAATGGCTAGAAAGTGATAAATGTATCCGAAGGCTATGAGCACAAAGCTAATCAATTGTTCCCTGGAAACGGCGATATTTATAAGTAATGTAATGACAAAAAAAATAGGAATTGTACCAAAAATTAAAGTTCACTTTTTCGGATGACTGGATTCAAAAAAACAATGATAATATAAACAAAGCCAGTTTAAAGTTGAAATTTTTAGGTTATTTATTATATAATCGTACATTTGCTGAAAAACCATCGTAACACATTTTTTTTTTCAAAACGCGTCACCTTTTCTTTTCGGTCGTGACTTCTCAAATAGAAGAATAAGTAAGGCGGCATCAGAATCACTATCGTCGAAGCCAAAACAAAGAAACAAAAATACATAAGAATAGCCAAATAATAATTGAGAACAGTTTGACCCGATATGAAGTTCAAGAAAACGTTGATGATGTCGGGAAATTGATTAAAATCCATCGTGATTGTGAAATTTCAAACTTTTAGTGACAAAAAATCAAGCTACCTAAAAAAAAAAAACATCTGCCGAGACTTGTGTGAAAAGTTCCCACAAACAGATGCATTTTGAAAAATTTATTTAATTGCCCTGAAAACTTTACATACCTCCCTTTCGGTAGTTGGATTAGAATCTGAAAAAAAAGTACGCTAGAGCGCATTTGCTGAAAAAATTGAGCTTCAGCGAGGGGATACAGATTTTAATTTGTTGGAAACCCTCAGAAAACACATTTTTACTCACGTTCCGATTTATTATCCTTGAACTGCATCTGTTTTTTGCTGATCAGGAGTGATAGATTGGTTACTCTTGTACTGCCTGTAGAAACTTGCAAGGAAGGAGAGAGGAATCACTGTAGGGATTAACACACGTTCTCCGAGATTTTCGATTAACCCTTGGTACAAAAATTTCATCTTTGTTCCTGAGAGCTCTCCTTGCTATGATAGATAGTGGACAACCTCTTGAATATTTAGACCAGGTTTTATTAGGCTCCGCCCACTTTCAGGCTTACTGTAGAAAAAACACCGTAAAAACCAAACTTTTTTCCTAGTGGAGCAAATTGGTCCAAACCAATTTTGAAACAAAATATGTTCCCTTTTGACCATTTAAAGTTATAGAACTGACCCGGAAAAAATTTTCTTTCAGAAGAAAAAAATTAAAGTTTTTTGAAAAATGACGATTTTCGCAGTCTTCAAGTCATAACTAGTACTAGAACCCCCGAATGCCTGGATTTTTATTTTTTCAATCGACGCGTTAGGGTCTTGTGAGTAGAGGAAAAATGTCTAGAAGCTCTGAATCCGGGTGATCCAGTTGACCTTCATCTCGGAGAACGCGACCAACTTGAAAATCGCAGAACCTTTGAAAATTTCTATTTTTTGTGAAAGCCGGATTCTGTCTTGTTTCTTATTTTTGTTCAACATACGACAGCTTGCTGCAAAATTACAGCTCAAAAGTAGCGAGCTGGAACCCTTTAAAAAAAAATTTCTGACGTTTTTCCAATTTTTCGTTTTTTCGGCATTTTCAATCTTTTTGCTCTAACTAGTAATAGAACCCCCGAATGCCTGGATTTTTATTTTTTCAATCGACGCGTTAGGGTCTTGTGAGTAGAGGAAAAATGTCTAGAAACTCTGAATCCGGGTGATCCAGTTGACCTCCATCTCGGAGAACGCGACCAACTTGAAAATGAATAAATTTTTAAAAATCAGTTACTTTCTTAGGAGCAGGATTTTCCCTCACTTCTTTTTGCCAATCAGACACAATCCACTCAACAAAAAATTGGAACAAAAAGTTATGGCTCTCAAGCATGACGAAATTTTTTTTTTCCAATTTTTCACTTTTTCGGATTCATTGTTTTTTTCTTTCCTTTCCAAGCATTGAGCTCTACTGGATTAGGATACCAGGAATGCTTGGAGTTTTTTCGTTGTACTGATCCGTTACATCTTCCCAAGTTCTTTAAAAATATTCCCAAGCTCTGTTTCCAGGGTGATCCAGTTGACCTCCAAGCAGCCGAAGCGGTCGACCTCGAAGTCGAGCGAAATTAAAAAAATTTTTCCAAACCGTTTTTTTTGCTTCCTAACCAGTAGTTCTCATCATCTGGAGGGTTTTTCAGTGTAGTTTCCACCAATTGCTGGCGTCAATTTTTTTATTTTTTTAGCTCATTTTTATTTTTGAGAATTTTTTTAAAATTTTTCGACGGGACGCAGCCCCAGCAATACCCCTGTCTGTCGAATAATCTGGAATTCCCTGGTATTATGCCTAAAAGAAAGTTCCAACTTACGTAAAGACACTACTTACGAAAAATAGTGACTACTATTTTGTGAAAAGTAAGAATCTTGTTTATCGATACCAATTGTTTGACTTTTTGAGAAAAAATTATTCTGGACAAAAATCATACAGAAAATAAAGAAAAAAATTTATTTCAAGCAAAAATAATCAAAAAATTTTTAAAACACTTTTTTTGTCCGTAAATTTTTTTATTTCATTTCTTTTTGAATTATCAACTGGACTGAAACGCTGATCAAATTATTTTGGACAAAAAGTGTTTTAAAATTTTTTTGATTATTTTTGCTTGAAATAATTTTTTCTTTATTTTCTGTATGATTTTTTTGTCCAGAATAATTTTTTTCTCAAAAAAAAGTCAAACAATTGGTATCGATAAACAAGATTCTTACTTTTCACAAAATAGTAGTCACTATTTTTTTCGTAAGTAGTGTCTTTACGTAAGTTGGAACTTTCTTTTTAGGCATAATACCAGGGAATTCCAGATTATTCGACAGACAGGGGTATTGCTGGGGCTGCGTCCCTGTCGAAAAATTTTAAAAAAATTCTCAAAAAATAAAAAAATGAGCTAAAAAAATAAAAAAATTGACGCCAGCAATTGGTGGAAACTACACTGAAAACCCTCCAGATGATGAGAACTACTGGTTAGGAAGCAAAAAAACGGTTTGGAAAATTTTTTTAATTTCGCTCGACTTCGAGGTCGACCGCTTCGGCTGCTTGGAGGTCAACTGGATCACCCGGAAACAGAGCTTGGGAATATTTTTAAAGAACTTGGGAAGATGTAACGGATCAGTACAACGAAAAAACTCCAAGCATTCCTGGTATCCTAATCCAGTAGAGCTCAATGCTTGGAAAAGGAAAGAAAAAAACAATGAATCCGAAAAAGTGAAAAAAATTGGATTTCGTCATGCTTGAGAGCCATAACTTTTTGTTCCAATTTTTTTGTTGAGTGGATTGTGTCTGATTGGCAAAAAGAAGTGAGGGAAAATCCTGCTCCTAAGAAAGTAACTGATTTTTAAAAATTTATTCATTTTCAAGTTGGTCGCGTTCTCCGAGATGGAGGTCAACTGGATCACCCGGATTCAGAGTTTCTAGACATTTTTTCTCTACTCACAAGACCCTAACGCGTCGATTGAAAAAATAAAAATCCAGGCATTCGGGGGTTCTATTACTAGTTAGAGCAAAAAGATTGAAAATGCCGAAAAAACGAAAAATTGGAAAAACGTCAGAAATTTTTTTTTAAAGGGTTCCAGCTCGCTACTTTTGAGCTGTAATTTTGCAGCAAGCTGTCGTATGTTGAACAAAAATAAGAAACAAGACAGAATCCGGCTTTCACAAAAAATAGAAATTTTCAAAGGTTCTGCGATTTTCAAGTTGGTCGCGTTCTCCGAGATGAAGGTCAACTGGATCACCCGGATTCAGAGCTTCTAGACATTTTTCCTCTACTCACAAGACCCTAACGCGTCGATTGAAAAAATAAAAATCCAGGCATTCGGGGGTTCTAGTACTAGTTATGACTTGAAGACTGCGAAAAATCGTCATTTTTTTCAAAAAAACTTTAATTTTTTTCTTCTGAAAGAAAAATTTTTTTCCGGGTCAGTTCTATAACTTCAAATGGTCAAAAGGGAACATATTCTGTTTCAAAATTCGTTTGGACCAATTTGCTCCACTAGGAAAAAAGTTTGGTTTTTACGGTGTTTTTTCTACAGTAAGCCTGAAAGTGGGCGGAGCCTAAAAAAACCTGGTTCTAAATATTCAAGAGGTTGTCCACTATCTATCATAGCAAGGAGAGCTCTCAGGAACAAAGATGAAATTTTTGTACCAAACTTTTTCGCATTTGTTCGATTTTCTGGGAGAATGCGTGTTAAGCAATAGTCAAGGATGTGAAAAGTGTATGCTAAAGGGGTCTGACGAATCGATGGGTTCAGAAGCCATGGTGGCAGAACCATAAGCAACAGGACCTGAATAAATCGATTATGTTCTCACTTATGTTTATGAACCTACTATTTTCGCAATCGTGAACGGTAGGGCTTGTTGCATGACTCTTTTTTCGGGTCTATAATGGTTTTTCGATACCATATTCGCTAAATTGAGGACTTTCCGATAGATCAAGTAGTATAAAGCCGCGCTCATGGGAGCCAGAAGCTTATCAATGGTTCCCACGGCCTGGAAAGCCATCAAAATTTTTGTTTAAAGAAACGGATCCCGACCCAGGGAGGCCAGGACGGCCAGTAAAGTTATGTGAAAAAATGTGAAAAAAATATGAAAAAAACAGTGGACAAGATAGTATTTCCTATCAAACTGGAATTAAGGTAGTTCCAATATAAGTTTAGAGCCCTAAGTGCCTGGAGGTTACGTGATCTCTATTGCGGTCTTCTTATTTTTTTTTTCAAACGTTCCTAGACTTTTTTTTTCGCACACTTTTATTCTTGTTCCGCCAGGGGCCACTAGTACGCTACCCTAGAGTCGCCAATTTCTAGAATGAGCGCTCTTGCAAGCTCTAGTGCCTCTATACTATAGAGGCACTAGAGTCTATAGGAGGAGTTAGAATGGTTCTTTATGAGTAACCTATAAGCGCCTCTTGGTTTGCCCATCAAGTGAACCGCCGGGAGCTTCTAAGAAAAACTCACATAAAAGATTCCCGCAGGTACTGGATTATCGCAATCCACACTTGGAGACGTTGGCAGATAACTGCAAAACCCTAGAAGAGAAAACTAGTTTTTTTTTACATTTTTTGAACTGACAAAAAATAAGCGCCAAGTAAGTGAAACAAAAAAGCCATGTTGCTCTGATATAGTAACGGATAAAGTCACTGAAAATAATTTTGAATTGTCCTTTTTTTCTTTTTTATTTATATTCTCACCCTTTGACATATTTATGATATGTGGTTTTCATGCAGACAAAAAAATATCTTTGCAAAGTGAGAATCGTCAATAAAATGTTAACATGAATAGGGAACACTGGAATGGCCAAGTAATGATAAATGAACCCGAAACCGATAACTGCTATACAAAAAACGTTTTCCCTGGAAGTTAACAAGGAAGTTCAGAGTTCGCAAAACTGACATACTGAAATTCACCACTTCCATTGTAAAATGTCGAGTTCAAAAATATTCCAAGTAGGAGAAGAATAAACCCAAACTGCGTCATGAGGGTTGATAAGGTCAAGTTGTGAATGAGGAGGTCGTAAACTTGCTGAAACTTTTCTCCAATATCTCGAAACATGCTTTCTCAGAGAAACCGTCTCTCTTCGGTCTAGGTTTCTGACATAGTAAAATAGGTACGGTGGCATCAGAATGACGATTGTCAGAGAAAAAAGAATGAGGCAGAAAAAGATTAGCGTCATTAGGTAATAATCAGAAGCATTTTCGCCTGTGATGGAATTGATAAATGCTTGGATGAAGTTCATTATGCTGAATGGAACTCAAGACTCAGTTGCCAACTACACCAATTACTAAAAAACATCTGTTAAGAGCGTGTTTTGCAATTTTTTACAAAGAAAAAGTATTGATTCGACATTTATGTATGTATTTTTGAATCGTTTTAACTTTTGCTGATAAGCGTGAAAAAACTTGTTTATTATGCTCCTATAGTAACGGATACATTTTCTGGAAAGCTATTGCTATCGAGACTTGAACTTTTGTAACCTTCGGCGTCTTTTTAACACTTGCGAATTTCCACGAACAAAACAAATAGTTTTATTGCTCCAGTTTACTCATCTCAAAGATACACTGTAGTTGCGCTGACGAGGAACAATTTTTGTTTTATTTTTGTACCGCCTATAGAAAGTAGCAAGAAAAGACAAAGGAATCACAGTTGGAATCAGACAATAATCTATAGCGTAAAAGGTGTAAAAGAGAGGTAATTCTCGGATCGTCGAGTTCAGAAGCCAAGGAGGGAAAACGATGAGCACCAGTATCTGAAAGTAATATATTTTGTTTTTGAAGCCAGACTCTAGAAATTTCACTATTTTGGCGATCGTGAAGGGAAGAGCTTGTTGCATGATTTCTTTTTCGGGCTTATAATGGCTTCTTGAGATCATATCTGTTGAGTTGTGGACTTTCAGATAGATCAAATATTGTAAAACTACACTAGTCAAGGCCAACAATTTATCGATTGCAACCACAATCTGAAAATAACCGATACTGTTAAGAAATTCAAATCTGAAAAAAAAATTCCTAGCCTGTAAATTCGGAAAAAGAAATATAATTAAAGCCCACATAAACAATTGCAGCATATTTCGAGTCTTCACAGTCAGTCGCTGGAAAAAGAAGGCGAATAGTTGCAAAACTCTGAAGTAATCATTTTTACCAGAAAACTGGAAACAGTCTGGTTTATCTGCCCTCTGTTGTGTTAACCTATTATGTTCATTTTGCTTTACAGTGAGGGAAAACGAGACACAGACAGGTCAGGAAGTTAAAAAAAAAGCCGAATCGCTCATAAACCATGCTTCCATGAATACTTACGGTATAGGAACAAAAAGTGAATGAAGCAAATCGTCCAAGCAGTTATCACGCCATATCTCAGAGCTTTTCTAGAAATTATAATCAAACTTGGAAATTTGGCAAAGGAAGCGCAAAAGAGGATGGATTGATACTTTGATGGGATTTTTCGTGCAGCTCTTTCCGTTTTTATCTTTCAAATTTCAGCCCCTTCACCGATCCTCCGTCACCTCTCAATTTGGGATGGATTGACTATATTGCAACTTGAAAATGTAAATTTTCGAGCCGCTTCATCTCAAAAACGAGAATAGCTGTACATTCAATTATTCGTAGAGTAAAAACTAAAGTGGAGTTCTTTTTTTCTCAGCCTTCCTCTTTTCGCACTTCCTCTCATTCTACCCTCTAACGTATTTATGAAATTTCGCACTGGCGTAAGCCATGCAAAATCGTTGCAAAGTGAGAATCGTTAGTAAAATATTGACATAGAGTGGAATAATCATAATGGCCAACCAGTGATAAAAATATGCAGCAGATATAACCATAATGAAAAATGACGCCCTCAAAGTTAATTTGAAAACTTAAAAAGTAATGAACTTTTTTTACCTCACAAATCCTTCTTCATGGGTAGAGGTCGAAAGTACTAGCGCCCCAACAAAAACAATTATGTAACCAAACTGCGTCATTAATGTTGATAATGTGAGGTTGTGGACTAAATAGTCGTAGCTCTGCTGAAAAGTTCTCGCAACATATTTTCACTTTTTTTTGATTTCTCCACCTTTTGTTTGCGATCTAGACTGCGCAAGTAGAAGAAGAGATACGGGGGCATCAGGATAACAATTGTCGAAGCCAGAACGGAAAAAGCAACAAAAAGCAAAAACGCTATATAGTTTTCAGACGCTTCTTTGCTTTCGATAAATTTGAGTAAGCTTTGAAAGTCGTCCATTACAGGGCGTGAAACTGAAAAATAATTAGAAAGGTGTCAAACAAATGCCGTGAAGCTATTTTTGCCAAATTCCAGCGCTAATTATGCCAAATTAATTCCACAGACTGAAGCTATCTGATTTTTCCCTCAACTTTATTTTCCTGAGAGAAAATAGAACTCACTAGGGCATGGTCTCCGCTCGACAACGAGTTGAGAATTGAGACTTTGTGGGTGGATAGGTCTAGGTAAGAGTACTCGGAATCAAAAATAAAGTTCTGCTAAACCCCTCAGGCAACCGAGAGAAAGCTCGTCGGAATTTTCCCAGCGCGTTTATGGCCGCGCTCGGAGCCTTCGCCTAGCAACTGGCGGCGTGGTGTAGTGGGTTGTAGTCTTGTGCACTGTCAATATTGGGACCATGGTTCGAATCCTTTTGGCGGAAATCGTTTTTGCCCGCTCATATCTTTAACACTTTCACATTTTGTGAGATTTTTTTCAAAGATTTACATCAAAACGCGCAGAAAACTTATTTCTACTACTTTACTCATGGAAAGTTTTTCTCCACGTATTGAGGAGGATCTTCTCAAATAGTTTTGTTGGAAGACAGGCAATCAGCAGCATAGTTATTAAAGTTAAGCTTATTTCGTGCAAAATTCTGTTGGTAACTTTGAAAAATCGTCATATCTTCTGATACCTGGAACGCGAAATCGAACGAAAAAGTTTCGCTTTAGTGGTTTTATCGTGTTATTGTATTTCCGTTTAGTACACACGGGTCCGAAAGACAGGTAATAGAAAGAAAGGTAATAAGGTTATCGTTTTTCCAAAAATAGTTCGAAGTTTTTATAACATATCTACTCGACATGAACTTTTATAAACAGATAGTTCTCTCCAGCATAAAAAAATAAAAAAATTTCAAATCAGTATTTTTTTGTGATTTTTTTGTAAATTTTTATTGTAGACTTTCGAAAAAAATTTTTAAAAAAATGTGAAATTGCAAAGATATGAGCCGGCAAAAACGATTTCCGCCAAAAGGATTCAAACCCTGGTCACAATATTGACAGTGCACAAGACTACAACCCACTAAACCACGGCGCCAGTTGCTAGCCGAAGGCTCCGAGCGCGGCCATATCTGCGCTGGAAAACTTTCGACGAGCTTTTTCTCGGCTGCCTGTGGGGTTTAGCAGAATTTTATTTCTGATTCCTAGTACTCTTACCTAGACCTATCCACCCACAAAGTCTCAATTCTCAACTCGTTGTCGAGCGGAGACCATGCCCTAGTCAGAAGGGTTAGCTTGTTTCATTCTGTGTAGAAAAAGGTGCTGATTAGCAATTGGGGCATTTCGTTAGATTTATAGGAAATCGGGAGGTTTAAAAGGACCGGGAACTGACTTCTCAGACACTACGACACCGCAAAAAGGATCACCTGTTTTAAGCCTGAAAAGTCCGAAAATAGCTGTTTTTGTTCTTTTCTTTTCGAAAGGACATTTTTTCGCGCTAACTAGAATATTTTTTTTCTCATTTTTAAAAAGAATAAAGAGGACTGAAAACTTTTGTGAATGTTTTTCTTTTGTTGAGAAGCTTGAGATCATTCCTGAAAAGGTTAACTCATCACCTTTTTAGATTGCATTATCTCTCTTCCGATAAGAAACGGTAATATGGTTGCTTTTGTACTGTCTTTGGAAGCTGTAAATGAAGGTTAGAGAAGTCACTATAGGGATTAAGCAATAGTCGATGACGTAAAAGACGTAGACGAGATAAATTTCGCGAGATGATGAGTTCAGCAACCAAGGAGGTAGAGGAGAGGAAAGATGACAGATTCGCGCCAAAAGCCGCTTCACACACGCAAAGCTCCAATCAACCAATCATGCCTTTCAAGTCGTGAAAGATTGGCTATAGCCGATTCACGGCTGCTGTATGGGCGCGGCTTGTGTTTGCTCTCCACCAAACAGGCACTGTCTACTTTCTTATCGCTCTAGGACCCTTTTTTTCGATGGCTCAAGCGGGCCGTGAATCAGCTATATATCCGTATACGATTTTGGCGACGGTGAAAGGTAGCCTGTGTGGTTTTTGGAGACCAAACTCGATAGGTTTAGGTTTTTTCCGATACCCCAAGTAATAAAAAATTACAATTTTGACGGCCAACAGCTCATAAATGATAGCCACAGTTTTAAAAACCCAGGATTTTTTAGTTCACATGGCTATTGATATTTGCATATTTATCTTTGTTTTTTATCATTTCCAAATTAAAGATTGATAATTTCTCAATTTTTGTGAATCCGGAAAAATTTCTCGTTACCCTGGACCTCTTCATTTTGTCAAAACTTCTGAAGTAAAGAAAAAAGGTATGGCAGAATCGAAATCACGATTGTACAAGCTACAACTAGAGAAAACCCGAAAATTAAAAGTCCCAAATAATGATCCGAAGCATCCTTGCCGGTTATGAAATTCAGATAAGTTTAATTGACGTCCATTAGAATCCAGCGAAAGTTGAAACTGACTCGATAGGCTTGCTCGACAGCTATAACTGATTCACGGCTAGCTTGAGACTTCGATAAAAGGATCCTTACACGAAAAAAGAGATAGTGCTTGGCTTGTGGAGAGCGCAGACAGGCCACGCCTATTCGAGTCTTGGGCGTTGATCATCTCTTCCCACAAACATCTGCCAAAGGAATTTTTTTTTGCTAATCTCCACAATCAGACGTTTTATTGACATAAATAAGTTTGATAATCTAATTGGTGTTGGGCTGTAGAGGAACTGTTCTGCGGTTGCTTTTGTGCTGCCCGTAGAAAGTAGAAAGATAAGATAAAGGAATAAATGTGGGAATCAGGAAAAAGTCGTAGACGGAGAAGATGTAGACGAGTGAATGTTTTCGGATTGGTAGGCGTAGCAGCCAAGGTGGCAGAATTACAAGTAAAACTATCTGAAAAAATCGATATGAGCCCGAGTCTTGCGTTTTTCCATTTTATACGATTTTGGCGACTATGAAAGGCAGAGTTTGTTGCATGACTTGTTTTTCCGGCTTGTGCTGATTCAATGAAACCACGGAAGATAAGGACGATATTTTGCGGTAGATCAAATAATACAAAACGGCACACAGCACGGTTAACAGTTTATCGATCATTAAAATTGTCTAGAAAATCTTTATCAAAAACTAAGTAGAACTTCAGCTTACACCGATGGTTTCGGCGTATTTGCGGTCCACGCAGTTGACAACTGATCTGTAGGGTAAGTAATCGCAGTATTCTATAAAAGGCAGTTCAAGTTTGACCCTCTCTTTCTAACTAGGGATGTCGAAAAAGACCAGCTCTGTGAATTTGCTGGAAAATCGCATCTATGACTTTTAAAAGACACTGAATCTAATCATCGAAAAAAAATTATAGGTCTAAGCTGAGAGGCGGGGAAGGCAAAATTGTTTTGGGTTTCTTGAAGTGCATATTGGCGAATTTCGAGAAGAGTTTGTCATTTTGGACTCTCCCTGTAAGACACTAACGGTATAGAATGAAAAAGTGCAAAAAGCTGAGTAAGTAAATCATCCGGGCATAGTTTCTCAGAACTTTTCTGAAAATTTATGTCGTTTATTTGGAAGTTGAAAAAATTTTCACCCTTTGACATATTTATGAAATCTTGGATCCATGCAGACAACGCAGTACCTCTGGATGGTTAGAACCGTCAACAAATTATTAAAGATCATGGGAGTTGTGAAAAGGGCTGCATAGTAATAAAGATAAGCGGCTGTAAAAATTAGAAAGAAAACCGCCTCGGGCCTACAAGAATATGTTGGTTTTGAAAAAAAGAATTATCAAAAAGACCCGGCAGAAGTTATCTCCACCCCGAGAAATCCAATAAATAGAAAAACAACATCAAACTGCGTCATGACGGTTAAAACTGTTAGCTTGAGAATCAAGGAATCATAAATTCTCTGTAACCAGCATCCTAAAAGCTGTATATTTTCCCCTCTTTATTTCTGTCACGGCTTTTCAAATAGAAGAGAAGGTACGGTGGCATTAATAAGATTATAGTGAAGAACAAAATAAATAAAGTTCCAGCGGCCAACAAATTCGGACCTGTGACTGACTCTAAAGAAGGTTGAATATAGTCCATTAGGCCGCCGTTGACCGAGAACTAACTTGACGAACACTAGAGAAATCTAATAAAAAACACCTGTTTCAAAATGTGCAAATTTCGCAATCAAGCAAAAAATTTATTGTTTCTCCGATCGTAGCAGGGTTGCACGAGAAGTGATTTTTTGAGACCGAGACGATCAGACGTCTTTTTGATTGGGATAAAGTTTAAATACCGTTGAATAAAGTTCCTTGGAATAAATTTGACCGGGAGCTAACTTGTCAAGCGCTGGAGAAACTCAAGAAGAAACACCTGTTACCAAATGGGAAATATTTTTTGTCTTTATGAGTAAGGACCCCGAGCTGCGCCTTTTTGCTGTAGAATTTTGTTTTTCGCTCACCAAAGAACTTTTTTTAGCCTTGGGTTGAACTATTGATGAAACTTTGCCTAAGTGTACTTTAAGACATCCCAATTCTAAACAAAGTAAAAAGAGATTGAGTTTCTCGGCGACAACACGTATTTTTCTTCCATTCGAACAACATCAGATTTTCGGAGATGATTTCTATTTTTCTTTTCAAATCACAGCTTTAGATAATTTATTCACAGATCAGTGTGTACCCTAAGAAGTCCTTTTTGATCTGGCATTTCCAAAAAATATGATTGAAGCTCGAAGCTCACGTGAGCAATAAAATGGTTCTTCGGGTCTTCGCAATAAATCGCTACTGTTCGAAGTCCGTGTCATAATACTCGGATGTGAATATCATCTCTTTATCATCTCATCATCTCTTCTCGCAAAAATGCGCCAAAAGAACTTTTTTTTTCTAATCTCCACAATCAGACGTTTTTATTGACAAAATAAGTTTGAAAATCTAATTGGTATTGGGCTGAAAAGGAACTGTGTTGAGGTTACTTTTGTGCTGCCTGTAAAAAGTAGAAAGAAAGGATAAAGGAATAACTGTAGGGATCAGAAAATAGTCGAAAGCGTAGAAAATGTAGACGAGGGAATATTCTCGTATTGTTGGGTTCAGCAGCCACGGAATCAGAATCAGAAGTAAAACCATCTGTACAGGTTAGTATGAGCTTGAAAATGTGCCTTTTTCATAACATACAATTCTGGCGATTGTAAAAGGCAGAGCTTGTTGCATAACTCTTTTTTCCGGTCTGTACTGGTTTGATGAGACCATAGAAGATAAGGAGGATATTTTCCGGTAGATCAAATAATATAAAATCACACATATTACGGTTAATAGTTTATCGATGATTAAAAGGGCCTAGAAAGTGTCTATCGTTGGAAGAAAAGTTAAACGCCAAGCTAACGTAAACAAATATGGCGTATTCAAAGTCCACGCAACTGATAACTGATGAGAAGGGCCGGTAATTGCAGTATCCTATGAATGAAAATCGCAGTTGAGTCGACCATTTCTAACAAGGGGAGCCCAAAGGTACTAGTTATGAAAACTTTTAGGAAGTTCGCGGCAATGTACTTCAAGGCACCTCGATCTAGATGACAAAAAAAAGTTTTCTTCATTTGTCTTTGATTCAAATTATGAGGCCTCAAAGACGGCAAAATCCTAGATTTTGTTCATTAATACGATAACGACGACTTTTGAAATGCCATAACTCGACTAAAGGACAGGAGGCGATAAAAATTGAGAGTTTAGACTAAACTGTTTAGTGTCTCTCAAAGTACATTTTAGCGAATTTTGAGCGGTGTTTGTTTTTTGGGCTCTCCTTGTGAGATACTAACGGCATAGAATGAAAAAGTGAAAGACGCTAAGCAACCAAATCGTTCGGGCATAGATCCTTAGAGCTTTCCTGAAAGTTGAAGTTGTTTATCTGGAAGTTTGAAGAAATTTCCACCCTTTGAAAAATTTGTGGAATCTTGGATTCGTGCAGACAATGCAATATCTCTGCAAGGCTAGAACTGTCACCAAATTATTGACGGTCATTGGGATTATAAAAACGGCTACAAAATAATAAAGATAACCGACTGCAAATATTATGAAAGACAACGCCTGAGGCCTACAAGGTATGGCCCGACTTTCGAAAAAAAGCACTAGAATACAGTACCCCAAAGTTTCGTTTATCCGCAACATGAAAAACCCGAGAAGAAACAAAATAAAATCAAATTGTGTCATTGTGGTCGAACATGTTAGCTTAAGAATTAGGTAATCATAAATTCTCTGTAAAAAGCGCTACAATTACTATGCGAGTTTTTCTTTCAACCTCAGTATTTCTGTCTCGGCTTTTTAAATAAAAAAAAATATACGGCGGCATTAAAAGGACTATAGTCAAGGAAAAAATGGAGAAAGATCCGCCGACCAACAAACTCAGATAGCGATCAGACGCTTGTTTACTTGTGATTGAGTTCAGAGAAGGTTGAATAAAGTCCATTGAGGGGAGATTGACCAGGAACTAACTTGACGAACACTAGAAAAATGCTAGAAGAAACACCTGTTAAAAAATGTTGCAATTAGGACATTTATTCTTTCTCGGTTTCATGGGTCATTGAGAACAAAACTCATTCATTTATAAGGATTTATAAGTTTCTAAAAGTTTAGCTTCGGATCGCATTAGTCCTCTCCTGATGAACAACATTAGGGTGATTGCTTTTGTACTGTCTGTAGAAACTCGAAAGAAATGATAGAGGGATCACTGTAGGGATGAGGCAGTAGTCGAGGGCATAGAAGGCGTAGACGAGAGGAATCAGGCCGACCTCCGGGATCAGAAGCCAGGGAGGCAAAATCAAAACGAGAAGTACCTGGATAAGAGGCTTATTTTCACTTTCAAGATTATTTTCGACTTACAATTTTGGCAACGGTGAACGGCAGAGCTTGTTGCATGACTCTTCTTTCTGGACGATACTGGTTTTTTGAAACCATGTTTGATAAATTGAGGATCTTCCGATAGATAAAGTAGTATAAAATTACACTCGTCAGGGAAAATAGTTTATTGGTAATAGCCACCACCTGAATCCAAAAATGAAAGCAAGAAGAGATATTTCTCAAAATGGCGTGAATAGTTGCAAAAAAAGTTTACTGTATCGGCACCGTGACCTCATTTGGAATGGATCTAAGCGTAGTGTTCAACCTCGAATCAAAGTTGCGATTGACTTGAAATTGAGCAAATTGATTCAAAAGTTCGTCTTGATCTGAGCCTTTTCTGGCTTGGCGCTCTTTGAAACAACTGCTTTGATGAGCAGAGCCAATCGAAAAGCGGTCATTGTGTTAGGAAAAATTTAGTTTCGATTCGAAGCTAACATAAACAATCGCGGTGTTTCTCGGAAGCTCGCAATCCACAATTGGCGTTAGTGGTAGGTAATTACAAGACCCTGAAAGATTTGGATTTCAGAATGATTTTTCATAAGAAGCATACAAGAAAGAAACCCAAAATGAATGAAGCAAAGAACCCATGTCGCTCTTACGTAACAGTTGAGAAAATCTCTGAATCTCAGCGTTAGTTTTCAATTTTTTCTAGATTTTCTCACCCTTTCACATATTTTTGATAAGCGGGATTCAAACAAACTACGAAATATCTTTGCAAAGTCAGGATCGTCAACAAAATATTGATATTCAGAGGGATAAACGGAATAGTCAAGAAGTGATAAAAGTATATGGCTAGAAGGAATACCACGTCGAAAATCATCTCCCTGGAATAAAAAAGGGCGATTTCGAAATTTCCTCACTATCGTACCATTCCTGATCACTGTCCCTTTTCACTGTGAGACCCAGAACCAAGAAAATAATAATCAGAATGAATCCAAACTGCGTGACTGTAGTTAAAAACGTGAGGTTGTGTATTAAAAAATCGTAGATTTGCTGGAATTAAAATTAGTTCCACTCATAATCTCGGACGAGCCCCGGACGTTTTTGATCATTTCTAGTGACCGCTAGCGCGGTCCGCACTCTTAAGTGATCCCTAGAATTGTTCAGAAACGTCCGGAGCGCCCCCGGTTTCAAACCTTTTCTTTTCGGTCGAGATTCCTGAAATAGAAGAAAAGATACGGCGGCATCAGAATCAAAATCGTCAAGAACAAGACGGATGAGCAACTGACCAATAGGAAACGGAAATATGTCACAGAGGCACTTAGGCCCGTAAAAAAGTTCACAGGAGCCTGGATGAAATCCATTCCGCTGCAGGAAACAGGAAACTAACTCGTACTGAGAAAACATCTGTCGAGAAACTGTCAGAAAAAATCTTGCACCTTTCCAAAAATAAATGAATTTTTTTCCATTCCTTATCAGACAGTTTTAAAGTTCATTGTTGATATGCGTGGGTTAAAAAATATATATTTTGCGGTCAGCAAAAAAAAGAGACAAATTGAAAGGTACTTTTCTGACAAGTTACCGAAGATTTTTGATTAAGCTCCCTTACAAATTTCAGTGCGCAGTTATAAACAGAATACTTTCTTTTTATTATATCCGCCACGATTTGAAAGAAAGTCTGACCTCTCTACGTTTTTTCTCTCTTCACACAAGTATTTTTGGGAGCATGAATTAGATATTAGAGAGCGTGGAGTAACTATTTTGTTTGAATTTTTTTTTTCTGCAAATATGTCAAAAATCATAAAGATAAAAATCAAGGATTTCAGCTTTGAAATGCATCGGTGCTCTGCTGCTGGACAGAGCTGTTTTGGCGGCTCTTGAACTGTCTATAAAAACTTGAAAGGAAGGATAAAGGGATCACTGTAGGAATGAGGCAATAGTCGAGGGCATAGAAAGCGTTGACCAAAGGTAGTTCTTCTCGGAGAGTTGAGCTCAGCAACCAAGGAGGCAATACCAAAAGAAAAAGGATCTGAAGAAGAATTATAAGTTTCTAGGTTCAAAAGTCCACTATATGTACCAATTTTGTAACAGTAAAGGGAAGCGCTTGTTGCATAACTCTTTTTTCCGGTTTGTAGTGGTTTTGCGAGACCATTTTTGCTAGTTGATGAATTTTCCGGTATATAAAGTAGTTCAAGATGATCGTTGTGATAGCCAGTAGCTTATCAATAATATTCACTGTCTGAAAAATTAACTTTTCAGTATATTTTTTCGTGATAGTGATTAAAAAAAACCCTCTGTACTTTGATCTTGTATTTTTTTCTCTTGTTCACGTGCCTTTTTCCTGTCTTAATAACCATGCAGGTGTGAGGAAGAAATGTTAACATTTTAATTTAAAACAAAAATAGTTTATCCTGATATAGTTCCTGTCTAATATCCTAGTATATAAAAATTATAGTAGCCTACATTGACAATCGCGACGTTCCTCCGATCAGCGCATTTTATTTTTGGTGATGTTGGAAAATAGTCGCAAGAGCCTGAAAATTCAGCTTCAATTAGAATTACTTCGTTTATACGTTTTGTCAAGATATTCAATATTTTTTCAAATCTTTTGAAAACTTTGTTCAGTTTGAAGGCTCTTGGTCGTTACACTTTGAAGTTGACCATAATAACCCGATTTTCCGCTCTCGCCTGAGATATAATCCGACGCCCGCCAGCCCTGGACAAGCTGGGCGCCGTACTGTTCCTACATGGAGAAGCAGTGATCGCCGGAGCGCTCGAAAGTCGTCTACTACTATCAAAAGAGAGACGAGAGGCTCTACGCGCCGTCTACGCTTGATCAACAACAGTTTCGCGAACCGACAAACAGCTCTTCAATGATTCCATGATTCAGCAGAGAAACCTTCTCTGAAGACTGAATAAAAGTTTCAAAGTTTCAAAGTTTCAAAAAATAATAACCCACTTACAAATTAGAAAAACGCAGTGAACAAAACATAAAGCCCAAGCCGTTATTATGTAGTACTTTAGATGTTTCCTGAATTTTCATTTTTTTTCCCCCAGTTTATTTTTTAATTATCACCCTTTGAATAACTGCTTGAACTTTTTGTCCAAACAAACTATGAAATATCTTTGCAGGGTCAGGATTGTTAATAAAATATTGACGTTTAGAGGAACAGTTGCGATGGCTATGTAGTGATAAATACCTGCACCAACCAAAACTGATAAAGAAAACCCATCTTTCCTGAATTCTAAATCTTTTTTTTCGCACGTTTTCCGATATTCGATGAAGAAAGATTGGAACTTTTCGTACAGGTAATCCTTGTCGTTCTTGAAGAAAGCCCCAGAAGTCATTACAGAGCCAATTAATAATAGAACAAAGCCGAACTGCGTCATCGTAGTTGTTATCGTTAAGTTTTCGATCAAGTAATCTTAAATTTGCTGAAAGATTTGTGGGATCGTTACAATGTTTTTATCGACATTACTTTCTCCTTCTTTCCCAGATTTCTCAAGTAGAAGTAAAGGTACGGCGGCATCAGAATCACAATCGTGAAAGACAAAACTATAAAAAAACCAAAGACCAATAAACTAAGATATTCTTGAGAAATATTTTCGTCCGTGATCGGACTGATAAGGTTTTCAAAGAAGGTCATTGCGGTAGGGAAATTTGAAACTAGAACGGATAAAAATTCAGCTGGTGAGTTGAAGACCACCTGCCAGGAACGCCTGGCAAACTTTTTATTATAGCTAAAAAAATAAAAGGGATTAGAACGGACGTGTAGTTTCTTCAGAAACGCCTACTGGGTTGTCTTGAAGAGAGCAGAAGTCGGACTTGGAAATTTGCTTCTGTGTCTTCAACCACATCTGCCGGTTTTTAAATCGACCTATTACAATGAAATCTCAGGTTCAAAGAAACGAGAAAGAAAAAATATGTAAGCCTTTTTCCATGATTTTCCTTTTCTACCCTTGAAAATGTCAATTTAATCTTTTCTATCTCTCATCGGAGTGCTCAGAGAATCCAGAAGTATCTCACTAAAACGGAAGAGTGCTGAGGCGCTGGGAGATCACAAAGAAGGAGAAATTTCACAGAGTGAGTATGGTAGAAAATTCTTTGTTTTTTGAAATCCTGGTATTTTCTAGATTTCCCGTAACTCTTCTTTTTATATATCTTTGTCTGTGTGTGTGTGTGTAATGACTTAATTGAGTGACACTCATTCTTTTATTATGCTAAGCGTATTGGTTCAGTAGTCAGTGTGGAGATGCTAGTCGTCGTCGCCGTCTTCACGGAGCAACTTCAGAGCGGTTGAGAATAGTTCGAGGCATTCAGACTCCTTTTTATTTTACTTGGTCTAATCTTTGCACGTGATCTATTCACTTGATCACGCCTATTTACATACTTAACACTTCTTCTTGATTTCTATTTTAAACTTTTACCTGAAAACAAAAAAATCATCAGTAACGCATTATCTGGTAGAAAATCCAGCTTGAAAAATTTATTTTTCTCAATAAAAAGTTCGAATAAAAATATGGAGCAGTTTCTTTTTCCTTTATCGGCAAATCGCATTGGTTTTCGGCTGATAGCCAATGACGCTGTGTTTTCTTTTGAACTCTCTATAAAAACTAGAAAGGAACGAAAGAGGAATGACCGTAGGGATCAGGAGGTAGTCGAGGATGTAAAAAGCGTTGACGAGAGAAATTTCTCGAAATTTCGAGTTCAATAACCAGGGCGGCAAGATGCAAAGAACAAACATCTGAAAATAAAAATGTCATATAACTCGTTTAATTCATTTCTCTTGAGAAATACGAATTCCCGTATTTGTGAAACTCCTACACGTTTCGTGTTGATGAAATTAGTTAACTCACACAAAATTATTTTCAAAGAAATGGGTTCAGCAGTTTTAACCGGCGAAAGTAAGAGCACTCCCGTAAGGCAATTAGACTAATGCGAGTATTATTTTTTTGGGCTCCAAAAACACTCCGCGATCGCTTTGCATGCGATGCCACAGCACAGTTTTTCAAGCCAAAGTCATTGAAACTAAAAAATCCTACGATTTTTGCGACGATGAACGGAACCGCTTGTGCCATAACTCTTTTCTCTGGTCTGTAATGATTCGAGGAAACCATGGAAGATAAAGACAAAATTTTCCGGTAGATCAGATAATATAAAACTACGCTCAGAACGGCTGATAGCTTATCAATCACAGCGATAGCCTGTAAAAATAGTCATCGCCAGGATCTGACAGTTATGAATATTGTATTTGAGTTCTGCGAGACTTGAAAAAGATCTGGAACATGAACTTACATAAACGATCAATGAATGGTTGGGGTCTGCGCAGCTTATCGTGGGTGCCTGCTCCATATAGTCACAAGACTCTGAGAATAAAAATAATGTTCGAATTCAGTTTCTATAGTTTCATTTGTAGTCAATGTTTCCCGGCTTGAAAGGCGAGTGAGGCGGGCAGGGGGCGGGACGCGTAGCGTGTGCGTACGCGGTTCTTGGCACGAGTTCAATTCAAGCGCACCGACTATTCAAAAAGCTCGGTCACCGCTCTTTCTTTATATGTTCTACTATTTTTTTAATGCGCACATGAAAAAAATTAATAAATAATAAATAATGGAAGTGGAAAGAGCGATAAACGAGCTTTCCAAATAGTCGCTGTCGGTTTTAATTGAACTCGTGCCAAGAACCGCGGACGCACACGCTACGCGTCCCGCCCATTGCCCCGCCTCCATAGCCTTTCAAGTCGGGAAGCATTGACTATACACTCACTGCAAATAAATAGAAAATAGATGAAGCAAAGAGTCCAAGTGGCCCACACACAGAACTTCAGAGTGTTTCTCAAAATCACTGTTGTTTAAGCCAAAGCTGACAAGAAAGGTACTTTTAATTTGCGGTTGTTTAATTCCTGAAAGTTGCCCGGGGATTTTTTTTTTTTGAGATTTTTTAGGGTCCTAAGCTGGTACAACAAGAAAGTTTAGCCAGTTTTCATGAGATTGTGAACGGAAAATTAAAATGACCTTCCTTGTCGAAATATTTCTCACCCTCTCACAAAGTCGTGAAATCTTGGATGCATACAAACAACGCAGTATCGTTGTAAAGTGAGTACTGCCAATAAAGTATTGACACCTAGAGGAATAATTGGGAAGGCTATGAAATGATACAAGGTTGCAAACGAAAGGAAATATGAGATAAAAGCTATTTTACTCTTTTGCTCCCTAAAAGCTCATACATAACAGTAATTTGAATGAAACGGCCGTACCTAGTTTTCAACTCCCTGTCGCCTAAGGTCCAAACCATGAGTAATCCTAAAAAAATGAGTATAAAACCAAATTGCGTCATCGTTGTCGAAGTTGTGAGGTTTTTTACTAGAGAATCCTGGATTTGCTGAAAATTCATCCAACTTTTAGAATATAACTTTGTTTATTTACCTTTTCTTGACGATCAAGCCTTCGAAAAAAGAAGAAAAGGTACAGTGGCATCAAAATCACAAGCGTGAAAGTGAATACGAAGAAACAAATGATGATCAAAACTCCTTGATAGTTATTCGAAGCGTCATCGCTGGTGACAAAGTTCAAAAAAGATCTAACTTCACGCATTTTGGCGCAAAACGTAAAAAAAAGATTTTTTTTTTTGAGAGCCGACGTCTCAAAAAAAAGGGCGGAAAGTTCTAAAATAACTCAACGCCCGACACAAAATCATCTGTCTGAAGGATTTTGTTCTGCACCTATGAATGGGAAAATGAAAAACTTGTTTCAAAAACCATTTTTGTGACTCTGAAGAGGGGAAAAGTCACTGATTACTATGGATAAACTTTTTCCATAATCTTCCAGGTTATAACATAGGAACGCAAGAGTGGTCACTAGAGGAGCAACCTTAGGGCTCTTGTAGGGTCAAGGAACCGCTTTATCTTTTTCTATAGGAGCATTAAGGTTTTACAGAAGTAGACGCTCTAGGGACTTAGAGTCAGAACCTTAACTCTCAGGGGGGGAGGGCTGCCTAAATTTCAGACACTTAGTGAGATTTTTAGTTATACGCCTTTTGCATAGCCCGTGCTTTTTATTTATTTCTGTTTAATAAAAATTTTAGTTTCGTATCACTTCGGTGTTCGACTGATGAGCAACGGTGTTGTGGTTGCTTTTGTACTGTCTGTAGAAAGTAGCAAGAAAAGATCAGCAAAAATAACAACCAAAGAGACTTATTCAGAATGAACTTTTTTTCAACTAGTGAAAAATTAGCTCTAGAAAAGTCTGCATCCTTTTATGAGGTGAATTTTCAAAGTTTGATGAATATGAAATACAACAATTTTACAGTATTCCCAACAACTCCTTGTTAAAGAGGCGCATAGCCTCGAGGTAGAACAACCATGAAAAACCTTGAAAAATTACATAAAAAATCGCTAAATCCAACGAAGCTGAACAATTTATTATTGGTCACGATAGAAAATAATCGCAAGACCCTGTAATTTTACGATACTACTTTCCGTTTTCAATCACAAACAGATGAGAAACGTCAAATGGACGAAGCATAAAATCCAAGCCGTGACCATGTAGTAACTCAAAATTTTCCTCAAATTTAAAGGTTTTTACTGGAACTAGTCAATTCATTACCCTGTGAAGTATTGATGGAATTTCTTATTCAAGCAAATTATGCAATATCTTTGTATGGTGAGAATGGACAATAAAAAGTTGACGTTCAGAGGAATCATTGGGATGGCCAAGTAATGGTATATGGACCCGGTAGCAACAACAAGTAGAGAGAAAAGTTGTTTTCTGAAAAGTCAGTTTTGAAAACCAAAAACAGGATTAGGACTGTCATACGCATAACCGCTATTTTCCTGGGATTCATCCGAATTTATAATCATCCCAAATATAAAAGTAACGAAGCCGAACTGTGTCATTATAGTATAAAAATGTCATATTCTTAATCAAGTAGTCGTAGATTTGCTAAAAAAATCCATTAAAGATAAGATATTCATTGATTTGGTCAACTTTTTTTCTTTTCTATCAATACTTTTTGAAGTAGAAGAAAAAGGTACGGCGGCAGGATCACAACTGTGAGAGCAAAAACTACGACGAAACCCAAAATCAACACTTTCACATAGTGTCCTGAAATTTTTCCAACAAATTTATTATTTCAAAGTAACCCACGATATAAAAATAAGAAGTGGAAAAGGCAAAATAACCAAGTCGTCCTCACGTAGTATTTCAGAATTTTACTTGAATGTATCACGTTTCCAAGAAATTCATGATGATTCCCCTCACCCTTTCACAAATTTATGAAACTTTGGATTCATACAAACGATGCAGTACCGTTGCAAAGTAAGAATCGTCAACAAAGTATTGACGCTGATTGGAATGAGTGAAACGGCCAGGTAGAAATGAACAAATCCGGTGATTACAACTATGACCGAGAAGGTTTTTTCTGCCCTGTAAGCTTATGATAAGCTTTCATCAAAATCAGGCATACCATGAGGAGTCTTTTTTCGCGCCTGCCATTTGAATTAGGAGGACCCCGAGCGCATAAACAGAAAAGCCAGATTGGGCCATCGCAGTTGAATATGTCAACTTATGAACTAAGTAATCGTAAATTTGCTGAATTTTGGGTCACGTCAAGTTATTCGCCCTCTCCTACAACCTCAATTTTGCCGTCTCGCCTTTGAAATATAGGAAAAGGTACGGTGGCATTAGAAAGACAATCGTCAGGGAGAAAATTAAGAAACAGGTAGTTATCAAGGCGGACAGGTAACTATTGGACGCGTCTTCACTTGTGATTAAGTCGACCAAAATATTCATCAGATCCATTTAGATAAAGGAAGCTGGGAACTAACTTGGAGAAAGATATATAAATTAACACCTGTCAGAAAATGATTGCAAGTATCCGCAAAACTTCTTTTCAGTTTTTGTTTGTCCTTTTGAAACAAAATGTCAGAGATATAGTGATAAGCTTGCATTTTTTTGCGAGTAGTTTTCAATCTTATAGTTCATTGAATCGCATTTCCATTCGTGTCCGACTGACTAGCAACAGTGATTTTGTTGCTCTTGTACTGCCTGTAGAAACTTGAAAGGAAGGATAGAGGAATCACTGTAGGGATAATGCAATAGTCAAGTGCATAGAAAAAATAAAAAAGAGGGAATTTTTTTCTTGAAATGTCGCATTGAGCAACCACGGAGGCAAGACCAAAATAACAAGAATCTGAACAACAAAAAAAGAGCTTGTTTCCGTAAAGCAGGGAAAAACATCAATTACGCTTAGTCTGGTAAAAAAATCCAGCTCGAAAAAAATTTATTTTTCTCTTTAAAAAATTCGAATAAAAAGTATGGAGTACTCCTTTATCGGCGAGTCGCATTGGTTTTCGGCTGATAGCCGATAACGCCGTGTTTTCTTTTGAACTCTCTATAAAAACTAGAAAGAAAAAGATAGAGGGATGACTGTAGGGATCGTGAGGTAGTCGAGGATGTAAAAAGCGTTGATGAGAGAAATTTCTCGAAATTTCGAGTTCAACAACCAGGGCGGCAAGATCCAGAGAACAAACATCTGAAAAGATAATAAACGTCATTCTTCTCCATTTAAATTAATTATTGTCCGTACTTTTTAATTTCCTTCACGTCTTCTAGTAATAAAATCGATCAAATTACACTAACTTGTCTTCAGAGAATGGGCTTCATCATTTTTATCGAATTAAAAAAGAGTATCTTTGCAACAAACAAATTTAAAAATGCCATAATTTGTGGCCGGAAATGCATTGCGATGCCGCAGCCCGAGCCAAATTCAATAAATTCGAAACTTCGAATAATCTCTTCGACTCACGATTTTTGCGACGATGAACGGAAGAGCTTGTGCCATAACTCTTTTTTCCGGTCTGTAATGATTTGATGAGACCATAGAAGATAAAGACACAATTTTCCGGTAGATTAGATAATATAAAGCTACGCTCAGAACGGCTGATAGCTTATCAATCACAGCGATAGCCTGTAAAAATAGTCATGTTTTCTATTTTTGCCAGGATCTGGCAGTTATCAATATTGTGTTTGAATTCTGCGAGACTTGAAAAAGATCTGAAACATGAACATACATAAACGATCAATGAATGGTTGGGGTCTGCGCAGCTTACCATGGGTGCCTGCTCCATGTAGTCACAAGATCCTGAAAATAAAAATAATGTTCGAATTCAGTTTCTATAGTTTCAAATACACTCACTACAAATAAATAGAAAATAGATGAAGCAGAGAGTCCAGGTCGCCCACACACAGAATTTCAGGAAGAATCTCAAATTCGCGGTTTTTAAGGTCAAAGCTCACAAGGAACGGATTTTCAATTTGCGGTCGGGTTATCTTTGGAAATGGGCCAGGAAACTTTTAGATGTACCAGATATTCATGGGAAAAAGTTAGAGAAGAAAACGAAATAGCGATCTTTAAAAATCTACGCTCTATCGACAATTAAATCGCTCTACGGTACTACAGTAATCACTCAAATGAACGAAAGTTAAAAAAATCAAAAAGACGTGAATGTTCCCAAGAATCGTTTTCCAGGATTCAAATTTTCAAAGATTCGAGGCCCACAAGATTGGTATATGCACAATTCACGCTCACAAAAACTCGCGGACCCAAAATTTCTTCCTCCTACATTGATTCGATTTGCTTATACAGTTTGATGTCAAAGCCGAAGAGAACTACCAAAATTTGTCAAGGTAGGCCACTTTCTTCTTTTTCCCGAAAACTAGCAATTTTAGAATTTCGGGATCTCCATCTGGTACATAAAGAAGTGTTCTAGCCGCTTTTCAGGGAACTAAAGACCGCAGATTGGAATTGCATCCCTTGTCAGAACATTCTTACCCTCTCACAAAGTTGTGAAACCTTGGGTGCATACAAACAACGCAATATCGTTGTAAAGTGAGGATCGTCAATAAAAAATTGACACCTAGAGGGATAATTGGAAAGGCTATTAAGTGATACAAGGTCGCGAACGAAAGGAAATATGCGATAAACGCCGTTTTTTTCTTCTGTTCCCTAGAGGTTCATCCGGTAACAGTATTAGGGATGAAGACAACGTACGTAGTGCTCAACGCCCTTTCGTCTAAGGCTAAAACCATGAGGAATCCGAGAAAAATAAGAACGAAACCAAATTGCGTCATCGTTGTAGAAGCTGTGAGGTTTTTAACTAGGGGATCCTGAATTTGCTGAAAAAAAGACCCGTTCCAATGACTATCTCGTAAGGAATCTAGTTACCGTTTCTCGACGATCAAGTCTTCGGAAAAAAAAGAACAGATACAAGGGCATCAAAATCACGAGCGTGGAAGTAAATACGAAGAAACAAATGATAGCCAAAACTGATTGATAACCATCTGAAGCGTCTTCGCTAGTGACAAAATCCAAAAAACTTTGAGCAGACAGCATTCTAACAAAAGCAGTTAAGAAATAACTTGTTTCTTGAGACACGACGTCTCAAAATAAAGGGCGGAAAGTTTCAAAATAACTCGCCACCAGGAAAAAAAAACATCTGTCTGAAGAAATTCTTCTGCGCCAATAAATGGAAAAAAATAAAAATTTTTTTCGCGTCTAGTTTCAAAAAAACCATTTTTGTGACTCTGAAGAGGGA